AAAATGTACGTTTATCATCTATTTTACTAATAAATATGATATAAATAATATTAATGTACAGCTTTAATTAATATATAATACTTTACCTGAATAGCGACGATACCAACAAACGCATGTAATGCGTTTTCGTATACTTCTTTCTCTGCAGTATTTGTCAAAATGTCTGTGACATTCATACCGTATGATTTTAAAGTAGCATCACATACTCTTATCGTATTTGCGAAAACTTGAAATTTTAATAAATTTCGACCTAATTTTAATTAAAAAATGATATCAATTTAGTTATTATTTAGTTACTACAGTAAATTGAGTATATGCATGATATTAAATATTACCCATTCTTGACCATTGCGAGCCTAAAGCAGAAAATACGAAGCAAACAGATCTTTTCACATTTTTACAATTTTGAATTTCTTTTATTGATTCTTGTTGCAAAGTATTCAGTATAATATACCCTCTCCATGAGTGACCGTCTATATTGTCTGCATAAATGTCATGTAATAAACGGATATATTCTACATCTGTCGGACGATTAGCAATCTATAATGGCAAACTTAAAAAAAATTAATATCAAAACATTCAAAATAACGTCAGTTTTTGAAATATCTACTAACGTCGTTTAAAAACAATTTCACTGATTCTTCACTACGTCCAGATAGCATTACAAGCCTTGGTAGATCATCATTCGGTGCTCCATTATTAATTTTCTGTTTGAGATTCCACTTTAATAGCATATGAGCGTTGGATCCCCCAAAACCAAAAGAATTGATCCCTATATAGCCATTTTTAAGTGCCAATGGTTTTTCGACAACACATACGGCTCCATTTTTCAATGCATCTATATCATTTCGTGGTGATGTATAATTGATGTTTGGTGGAACAAAACCAGTTTCGAATGCTATTATTATCTTTAATAAAAATAACAATTCTATTATTATTATAACAACAAATTCAAATTTACATGTCAAATTTGTTATATGTAAAATAACAAATTTGAAATGTAAATTGGAATTAATTTTTAGATATTAATTATGGTCATATATCGTATGTTATGTCTTACTATGTTAATTTCAATGATAACCAAAATTGAAGTTTGACAAGATTCTTGCAATCATTTAATAAATTTTCGTATTCTTGTGCGAGAGTGACCTTGTTGAATTATAACTATATTGTATCTCATAAAATAAATTTGACGTATATGCGTGCGTGTGTTTCTATGCGTGCTAACATAATTAAATATAAGAAAAAAATAAAAATTAAATTAAATTAAAAGGAAAGTCGAATATTATTTTACCTTAGCGATTTGCGTTAAACCGCTAGCAGGTTCAGCATGACCAAGATTGGATTTTACAGATCCTAAAAATAATGGAGTTTCTCTATTTTTACACAAAATGTTGTAGATAGCATTAATTTCCGGAGGATCGCCAGCTTTCGTAGCGGTACCATGCGCTTCAATATAATCCAAGCAAAGTTTCGATATTCCGCACTCATTGTAAAATTCCATTAGCAAAGTACTTTGCATAAGCGTCGATGGATATGTTATCCCTTCT